GGCCTGGGAGCCCTGGCTACAGGCCCTGCCCGCCCCCCGCCACCGCCCACCCACCTGAGCTCCTGCCCTGTCCCCAGGTGGCCAGTCTGAAGAAGCAGCCAGACCAGGAAGCACCTCGGCATCAACAGGCCCGCCTCGGCCAGGCCTTGCAGGCCAAGAAGTGAGCCCTGCTTGCCCAAGCCCCCAGGGTGGCCCGGCGGCCCCAGCGCCGACCCGACAGCGCATCAGAGCCGCCACGGGGAAAACAGACGTCTCACGCTGCTCAGAGGACTGTGGTGCCACGGCCCACAGCCCACCACGCCTCCCCCGGGGTCCTATACCAGCAGGCGCCCCGCGATTCCACAGAGCACCGAGCTCCCCCCGGCCCTTGGGACCTCCACCTCTGCGCACCCTGGACGGGCCTCCAGGACACTCCTCGCAGGCGCCGCCCTGCCCCTGGCCCGCACCCGGCCTGGCACTCTGTCTCCACTTGGGACGCACTGATCTGGCCAGACCCTGGTCACCAGGCCCCATCAGGCCGGCTCCCGCGGCCACAGGCTGCGTTCCATGCCTTCAGCTCTATAAACATGGGGAAACACGTGGAAAATATTTCCACCAACTAGAGCCAAAAACATAATGTCCTGCGAGGCCCAGCCACCACTTCCCTACGTCCAGAGGCCGCGGAACCTTCTGTATCCAGGAAGTGCAGGTCCGTCACAGTGGCAGGTGGCTGGAAATGACTCAGAATCAAGTCCCTGTGACTCGCCGGCCACGGGAAGCACTGGCCGTGAGGGCTGAAGCTGTTGCAGAATCCCCCCCTTTTCCAGCCTATAAACTCTGGGAAAATTCCTGGGGGAGCCGGCCCCAGTTGCCAGGGAGACCGAGGTGGCCATCTCGGGCCTCTGTGGGGTTCACCTGTCAGCATTTTTACTCATTTCCCCCATGAACGTCGGCCAGAGTGATTTGTCTTCCTCCCCAAATGGCCTCCCCTGTTTTGCAAGCGGCACGTTTACGATACGCAGGGCACCGGCCAGCCCGGTAAATTCCTGCGTGCACAGGTGCTGGCTGGCCTCCAGGACTCCTGGGGGTGGGCAGGGCCGAGAGCACACAGCCCACCTCACTGCTGTCCCTGCACCTTGCTGCCCGAATGTGCGATCGCCGTATGTCTGTCTCAAGATCGATCCAGGGCTTAAAATAGGCCATCCTGTCGAGACCTTGCTTTCCGCTTGAATTTAGCAACGTGTTCCCACAGCCGGTCATGTGTACGGAAGCAGCGGCTAGAAGGATGGGAGCAGACGGGTTTCATTCCGCCCTCAACTCAGCCTGCTCACCGGTGGCTGTGTGGCTCTGAAGCCCAGCCCAGGCTCGGAGGGAAGCGCCGGGTGACCCATTCGCAGTGGCTGCCTTGGGCCCGGGAGGCCGTACTGGTGCTATCTGCGGCCCGATCCGTGCCACCGGTGGAGGCTAGCGGGCAGGTGCACCCCTACTTCAGAAGCGTGCTCTGCCAAATGGGAGAGGCTGGGGCCCTGACAGGGGACGCGTGGCCCTCGGGGCCTGGCTTTTAGTAGACAGACGCCCCCCAGCAGAAGGACCCCAGGGCCGGGCCAGGCGGGGGTGCGAGGAGGGAGGAACAAGCAGCTGGAGACCCGAGTCCGTGCGTGTCTGCGGCACCCGCTGGCGTCGTAGGTGCTCCCAGCACAGAAGAAGCAAGTGCACGCTCACGGGTGAAAGAGGAAAATGTATCTCAGATGCGGAAGGGGTCGGGTGACTTCTCGTTACTAAAACGAAAGCCCCCATGTTTTGACCGACATCCTGGTGATTTGGTGTTTTCCTTGCCCCCGGTTGCACGTGCGGGACTTTCACAGCACCTGTGAGACCTCTCGATTTTTGTATGTTAATAGTTCAACCCATGTAGGAGATGCTAGTTTTTACTTACTCAACATAAAGTCATATACTTAGGCAAAAGAGGATTTTTCTAGTGGAAATAAATTGGTGTTTCCTTGAGCATCTCCAGGCCGGTGCGTCTGACAACTACCCCGGAACCTGGAGGAGCCTGGCTCTGTCCTCCCAACAGCACCCTGGGACACCTGTTGACGGGGGACTTCACGGGGGCTTCCCTGACCAGGCTTCCACGAGGTCTTGCTTCTGGACCAAGGCCACAAGGCAGTCCGCAAGAGGTCAGAGTCAAACCCAGAGGCCAGCGAGGCTGCAGGCACAGCGTCCTGCCGACTGGAGGACAGAGACGGACTGGGGGTGCTGAGCAGGGTGGGTCCCAGTGCCCGGGGTGCTGGAACCCTGCCGGGCATCCACCTGTCCTCACACGCACCACCCGCCCCACACTTCCGGAGGTGAGGTCAAGGCAGGAGGGCCTGGGGCGGGGCCAGGCCGAGAGGACAGGCTGTACTGCTGCCCATGCCCTCCCTGTGGCCCGAGGGGAAAGGCTCACGGCTTCTTCCTTGACCACCCCGCACGGAGGCCTCCAGCCTGTAAGAGGCCCAGCAGCCCCCGCATCAGTTTGGGACTCATCAGCCTTGGAGGAATCCTAGCTCCACCCCTTCCAGCTGTGTGGTTCTGGACAGGCTCTCTAGCCTCAGTTTCCTCATCTGTGAAATGGGCGAGCCCACCCTCGAGGGGCACGGTGAGCCCTCTATGAGGTATCGCCCACACTGACACCGGGCCCATCGTGAACCCTCAGCGACAGGGGTGGGGGCACCATCACCACCCTGCAGCCACTGCAGGTGGGGTGTACGAAGGAGGAGAGCAGGGATGCCACAGAGAAAGGGCCCCCCGGGAGCCCAGGGAAGGCCGTGATTCCCACCAGACAGACGAGGCGGCGGAGGGAGAACGAACACCCTGAGGACACGGGCCCCAGCCCCCCGCAGCACCCCAGCTCTCGAGGGAGGCAGGGGCTTCACCTGGGCCACAGCTGGAGCAGGAAATGGGCCAGCTGGAACCAGGGTCACTGATATTCCGGCTTCTAAAACATTAATTTGTTCAAATAACTGCAAATAAAAACTGTGACGACGAAACCTATGAAAAAGAAACCCGCCACCGCCCGTACTCCGTGACAGCAGATCCTCGGGTAAAATTGGAACATTCCCGATGGTTGGGGGCTGCTGCACGTGCCACGCTGAATACTCTCCTGAAAAACTTTTACTTGACGTTTTATCATGAGGCTTTTCTCCACGTCATGAAAAATGCCACAGAAGCTTGATTTTATCAGCTGCCAAACCTCTCAGCAAAGGGTCATGCGGGGGCCACCTGAGAGCCCTTCTGTCGCACCTGTCCCTGGCGCTTGTGGAACACTCAGGAAGCCAAGCCGAGTCTCTGCCCTGTGCCCTGGGGGACAGCGGCAGGGCGGGGGCAGGGCGG